CAAGGTTTCGCTTCAAGTATCAAGGTTGGGCTTCAAGTTAAAGCGGACATGCCATTAAGAGGAAGCCGGCGGCCACAGGCAGGATGCAACTCTTTGCGGCTCGTGTCCACCCGTCCCAGAGCCAACTCACAAGGCTCCTAGGCCGCAGCCGTGGCCAATGAACACGTTTGTTGAATGACAAGGAAGACAGCCAAGCCCTTCATGCACAAGTCGACGTCCTGCAGCAGGTGCTACACGCAATCCCTGTTGGCGGCATCAGCATGAAGAGGCCGTCACCAATTGTTTGGCAACGCTCATTGCCCTTGGGAAGAGCCAGACGCTGCTCTGCGCGACCCAACTTGCAATGCAACATGGCGGTCTGAGCTTAGGTTGCGCACGAGAACGCCGGCATTTTGCATGCTGGTTGTGGTTGGTGTCATGCCCCGGTCACCCCAGGTAATCCAGGCCTTGCAATCCTTTCCGGAAGGGCTTGCTGCTGCAACCGTCGCATCGGCCCCAAATTCCTGCAGCCTACTTGCACGATCTTGCACGACCAAGGCTCCACAGCTGAGTTGCCGGACACACGCAGCGACAAACATGTGATGAGCGCGCGCTGACGATGCACTTTGGGAATCTGCCACAAGCGTCCTGAGCGCCACTGCTCTCACAAGCCTCACCGTTGTCATTCCCAGTGCGCAATTCTGCGTGCTCTCCTTGCAAAGCTCGCGATTACCCTTGTGCTGATGCCGCGCGCATGCCGATGCGGTGGCGCCCTAGAACCTCTCGCGTGTTCTCCTCTTGGCTGCAAACGGCGGGCGCAGCCGAACTCACCCCAGAACAGGCTTGTTAGATGGCAGGGCCAAGATCTTGGAACGGGCATGGGTGCGGGTGGCCAGAGAGGCGGTAGGCGTGGATGGGCACGTGGTTCCCCAGCAATGGCCGGCACAGACAACTGCGCCCAATGTTGACGCAGCCGACAGGCGCAGACTGGATCCGGTGATTTATGGCGCCACGCCACTGGGTGGGGCCCTCTGTTGCGACGCTACGTCGGTCTCCCCGCGGACTCGCAACGGGCAGCTACAACCGTGCGCAGCGGCGATTGACGGCACAGCGCTCAGGATACCGAGTGCAAGAATTTTTTTTCCCACCCTTACAGTGGGGTTGTTCGATTTTAAAGTCTATGTTGTCCCTGCCCTCCGCCCGGAGCAAACTCTGGCATGCCACTGGGGACACCGAGTGCAAAATTTTTTTCCCACCCTTACAGTGGGGTTGTTATATTTTAAAGTCTATGTTGTCCTCGCCCTCCGCCCGGAGCCTGATTGCAGTGCCCAACCGCAGAGTATCCCTGCAGTGCCCAAGCGCAGAGTATCCTTGCAGTGCCCAACCGCAAAGTATCTTTGCAGTGCCCAGCCACAAGATATCCCTGCAATGCACAACTGCAGAGTATCCTTGCAGTGCCCAACCGCCGAATATCCCTGCAGTGCCCAGCCGCCAAGTATCCCTGCACTGCCCAACCGCCAAGTGTCCCTGCAGTGCCCAACCGCAGAGCATCCCTGCAGTGCCCAACCGCAGAGTATCCTTGCAGCGCCCAATCACAAAGTCCCAGCAGTGCCCAACCGCAGAGCATCCCTGCAGTGCCCAACCGCAGAGTATCCCTGCAGTGCCAAACCGCATAGTATAATATAGTATCCCTGCAGTGCCTCACCGCAGAGTATCCCAGCAGTGCCCAACCGCATAGTATAATATAGTATCCCTGCAGTGCCTCACCGCAGAGTATCCCAGCAGTGCCCAACCGCAGAGTATCCCTGCAGTGTCCAACCACGGAGTATCTTTGCAGCGCCCAACCGCAAAGTATCCCTGCGGTGCCCAACTGCAGAGTATTCCTGCAGTGCCCAACAACAGAGTATCCCGATAGTGCCCAGCAGCAGAGTATCAACATTTAGAGCGAGTTTCATTGCTGATACATGCTCCACATTGTCGCTGGAAGTAATTGATGTTGCCCTGGAACGACGAAGAGTTAAGGGCGGGGATGTTCGAAGTAAATTATTTAGAATCCCACGGCGGCATCCGCAACCCAAACTGTGGACAACGGAGCGAAATCCGGAATTCCATGACACCAGCGACATCCCAGGCACGAGACTTGGCTGCATGAAGGCGCAAATGACCATGCTGCCACAGCAGGTGCCCGAGGCGCCGGTACAGGAGGGCTCCCGGCGGGGCGAGTCAAGAGTGTGCTTTGCCGAGGCGTCGCGGACGAACTTGACAGCGAAACGGAAGGCTCGCCGGAAAGGGCCGCAGCAACAGCGCCGAGGTTCGAAGGGCAGTGGCATTCGGAGCTTTCGTAGAGGAACAACCCGATATTCATCGTTAGGGACATCAAACTCTTGGCATGACGGAACGGTGGTCACGACGCAGCTAGCTCGTTCGCCACGGTGGGACAGCAGCGCGCTTGTCCACAGCGGCTCCGGCCAGCTTCTGCCACGTCTGAATATGGGCTACTTGGATGACTTCGCAGGCATGGGTCCGCCAAATCTTCCAGATTCGGGTGACTTCGTGTCGAATTCGTCCAGCTCTGCACGGCCCTCCCCAAGCTAAAGCATCAAAAGCGCGAGCAAGCCACGCCTGAAAATGAGCCCCCGGGGGGTTGAAATGCAACCTGCGGGACGATGAGTTCGGACGATGAGTTCAGACATTCAAAGCTTGCATTCCAAAGAATATCCCAACTTGCCTTGGCAATGACTTGATTCAACTGAGGGTGCGAAAAAAATTGTGTTTTGCGGCTGTTTTGTGTGCTGAGTCAACATACCCCCGACATGAAGAAAACAACATGAACACAACCGATGTCAATGTTCTTGCCTCAATTGTGGCAGCATGTCAGAAACCCAAAAATGAATCGGAGATTTTGAAACTCATACCGCACACGTCGGATGTGGCCGGCAAACTGTCCGCGTTGTTGATCAGCATCATTCGCATGAATCAACACAGTTGGCCACTGAGGCCAACACCAAATCGCTCCCCCGAGTGACAAGCCAAGACCTCAGGGTTTTTTGTGACCTGTTTGCCGTAGCAGCGCGTGGGGTTGTGGCCACGGCGCCTTACACGCATTGGCCGCTGGCCCAAAATCATCATCGCTAGCGTATAAGAGCTGCAAATAATGTGACTTAACAACAACACGCATATGCGTGTCTCTCGTTCACCGAGTGGAAGCAAGCGGGCAGCTACGCGCAGACTTGCATGCGCCATCCATGTTCATGTCAGCAACGCAGACGTTCCGGGCGCGTGCTCCGGCATCAAGGCAAATGTGGCAGTGTTCAAACGGCAAATACGCCCATTGTGACAAAAGCACTCCGGCAATCTCCGAAAAAATCCGGCCTCTTCCAGGAGACTGCGCCAACAGGAGGGCAGGTGCACCCAGCATAAGTTGGCGGCATTTGTTTGGATCCGGCGTGCTGGTTGTGTAACCGTTGCGCCGGCATCTCGCGTCACAAGTGCCACAGATCGTTGCATCCGTCACGGGGCTCGGCGACGTGTTTGTCGAAGCCTTGCCGAAATTATTGCGCGTGACCGCTAAAGCACACCGAAGCAGCCTGCAACGCGATGATGCGTTGCACGAAACACACGGGATCATCATGAACCATTTCGCCACCCGCCAATGTCAGACGCGAGGACACGCAGGCGGCGTGGGCCCCACGAGCTGGCGACTTAGTGACAAAGTCCAATTTGCGGCGCCCGATCGCCCCCCGGACAATTGCGAAACAGGCCATTGCACATGCTGTTCTACCACCGCTTGATTGCAAACACAGAAGACCATGGATTAGCACATCCACGTTGCAACTGATCGAATGTCGATTGGTTGCGAGGCATCAAAAAAGATGGACCAGCCGAAAAACAGACCACAGATGCAATCAGAGTTAGTGTTATGTGCGACCGATCAAATTGGCTGGATGGCTTGCTGAAGCATGGGGATTGGAAACGGACCCGGAAATTAAACACAACTTTTTGCCCAAAGCAAGGTCGTTTGTTGAACAGCACGGGCAAGGTGGTGGACAGCAACGCTCGTGCAACAGTTTTTTGGCATAATTTTTCGCACCAGGCCCCCACATCCGTGATACATTGGGGGTAACTTGGGAATTGGATGGTGGGGACACCACCACCAGCATGTAGGTGGTGATGCAACTAAATGTGACAATTGGCGGCCGATTGCCCTGCTCGCCATCGGATATCAGTGCCCAAGCGCCATTTTTTCGGGCGGCGGATCATGAACCAGGGCGCGGACAGCATCGTCGGCCCGAATTTCATCCCGAAACCCCCAACATGAGCGCGTCAGCGGCGAACTCCGGCACCGTTGCTGCTCCCGAACTTTTGGCCCTACGATAACCCAGCGGCAGCCTAAATCGTGCTGGCCACGCCGGGGCAGCTATTCAGCTGGCGTGGTATTGGTTACCTCCCGCGGCTGCAAGACGCGATGCCTCGAACCCGAATTTTTCCCGAGGCCTTTCGACTCACGAGTTTTAACCCCCAAAATGCACTTCAAAGTAGAGAGCTTGAACATGCAATGGATAAAACGCTGGGTGCAATTCTTGCGCTAGATGACTGCAATCATCATCATGTCGTGTGAAAAACAAAAAATCTCAAGGGGGCTTTCGTTTTCATCTTGTCTGTCTGAACTTGTGTGAGCCTGCTGGTAACAACGTGTAGGGGCCTCCTAGCACTGGTGCCCTGGGCCCCGAATCTGAACGTTCAACCCCCTACCGCCTCGCCATTGTGTGAGCATCCCAGTTCTGGCTTGTCCTTTGCAAGAGCCTCGCGAACCTAGGCTGCTTTGTGCGAGGTCTCCGCGTCACGCGGAGTGGGCTAGTAAGCGCATCTTGCCCCACGCTTAGGGTTTAGGCCCCATGCAAGGCATCCGGTACCTCCCGCTGTCCAAGAACGGTTGAGACCGCCCGGCTCTGCCTCCTTTCCCCCTTAATGCCTGGTGCGCCCCTGGCCCCAAGCACGGCGCAGCAAGCGCCAGGCCCGTCATGGCCACACCTCCCTCGCCTCGCTTACGGGATGACACGCCCCTGGTGTCCAACAACGGCTTGACTACTGCAACGGGCGCAGCCCCTTCTACGCCACCTTGGCTTCTACACCCTGATGCGCCGTCTCCGTCGAGTTCCCCCTCAGCCAATGCTTGCCCTGTTTGCCTTTGCGAATTTGAGCAGGGGGCCAATGGTGCGGAAGCAGTCTTCCCGTGGCCCGTTTGCCGCCACGCTCTTCACTTCGGGTGCGCCGCCCACTTTGTCACCAATACGAGGGACCTTAACTGCCCCTCGTGCCGCGGAGGATGGCCGGCTTGGGGAGCCGACGTGTTCCAGGCGGCCTGCAGATTGCACAACGTGCCTCCACCAGCACCTGCCCCGGACCATGACACTACCTCTCGTTGGCACCATGAGGCATCTGCCCCGCAACCACCCCCAGCCGTGCTACCTTTCTGCTGTCCGCGTGTTTTCTTGGCAGACCCAGCCCGGGCGTCCGACGATGATGCCTGGGAAGAGCTCCCTGACAGGCACATGCACTGGGCACCGTTCTACAACAGGCAAGCCAACTCTTGGGAGCCGGAGTGGACTTGCCTTTGCTGCAACGCAACGGTCGACACCTCTCACCCTTTGCTTCAGGCACTTCCGCCAGACTCGGACCCACGTGCCCGACCCATGGCCCTCGCCGCCTCGCGTTGGATTTGCGAGAGGGCAGCCTCCCAAAGTACTCCCGTGTCCCGGAGAGCGCATCCCCGTGCCAGCGCCTCCGGCTGCTGCAGTGGCCGCACCGCGCGCACCGCCTGCGGAAGCCCAAGGGCCGCCTTCCTCATTAGCGGCCGTCGGGCCGACACACAGCTGGTTGTTCGTGCCCTTGTTGCACGCCGCAGTTGGCAGACTCACGGCCGATGCTGGGCAGCACTGGGCCTCTCACACCAGCCTCGGGACTGTCTGGCGCCGTTCTCTCGGAGCTCTCCAAGCTGCTGACCCGGTTCCGCCACTGTCTGTGGTCCATGTCTTGCATGTGTTGCAGCAATTGGCTTCCCAGGAAGGACGGCCCGTTCCCGTTCGTGAGGCGCAGCTCCTCCTCAGTCTAACCTCCGCAGCTAGTGTTCTCCCTGCTCCAACACTTGTGCACCTCCCGTGGGCGTGGGGCCAAGTTGTGCAACCGGATGGATACATCCCAGCCACTGCCCAAAAAGCGCTCCTCCACGTCTCCCTGGGCGAATCAGCCGCGGCGGCCCTTGTGCAAGCTGCCGCGCGCGCACCTTCCGGGGACCCGGTCGCCCCCGCTGGCATTGGCCACGCAGATGGCCCTGACGACGGCCGTGACCCGTCTTTCAGCTCGTCGTCCAGCTCTTCGGGCACACGCAACAGCAGCAGCACCACCACCAGTTGTAGCAACCCGCCTTTTCCCGTCCCAGATGCAGCGCCGACACTGCGTGATTCGCCACACTTCGTCTCATCCTCGCCCTCGCACTCACCCCGAGGCGTGCAGCATAGCGTCGGGATTGCAGCTCCTACCGGCCAATCCGGCCACTCACGTGCAGCTAGCCCTGTGTCTCCGCCAACGGCCCCGCCACCCCCTTCAACCGACAACTCCCCCCCGTCTGCAGACCTGTTGCGGTCCGCGTTTGCAAGCAGCCTTGGCCAGTCTCGACCCTTTTGCGGCCACGGACCTTGTGGCGCAACCTTGCGCCTTGTCGCGGACGCCTCCCCCTTTCTGTAAGCCACACTTACGTCGTGCCCTGGGCACCACCCTCCAACTCATCCGTGACGCGCATGACATTACTGCGCCATCAGCGACCCGTGCATGGAAACTGTGGCTCTTCCTGCCTCGGTTGCTGCTATGGCGTCCAGCTGGGTCGCCAAGTGTCCCGAGGACCCAGCTCCTTGCACGGTTCCAGTCATTCTTCCGGGGCGAATGGGCCCCACTATTGCATGCTGCCATGAGTGAAGCTGGGGCTGTGGGAAGGTCGACTTCCACGTCGCCGAACTCACCCTCCCGCCGAGCTGAACGAGCCATCCAGTGTGTCCACCTGGGTGAGCTGTCAGCCGCTCGCCAAGCTATCGATGCGGAACCACTTGAGTCGGCCAACCAGGACACACTGCGTCAACTCACGGACCCTTCCCGCCGACCGGTTGAGCCGTATGGGCCGCTTGGGTCCGAAATCTTGGATTTCCAGCCTGATGCGCCGGTGGCACTAGACAGGACAGCGCTGCTCGCTAACTTGCGTCGGGGCCGCAAGGGTGCGGCACCTGGCCCTACCGGCCTCACGGCCGAAATGCTACGCCTCGTCCTGGATGCGGAAGAATCTTCCCAGGCCTTTGGAGACGTCGCGGTTCTCCTAGACCGCGCATCTGTGCCTGAACCCATCGCTGCTGTGTTGGCGATCGGGCGTCTCGTTGCCGTGCGCAAGCCCAACGGCGGCACTAGGGGTTTAGTGGTAGGGGATTTCCTGCGACGGGTTGTGGCCCGCACGCTCGCACAAAAGTTCGCCGCCCATTTTCAGCGTGCCTGCTTGCCTCACCAACATGCGCTCACAACTCACGCTGGGTCCGAGGCCCTCGTCCATGCGTTGCAAGCCCGCACTCAGCTTGATCCGAGACTCACACTCGTCTCTGTTGACGTCACTGCGGTATACGACCTCATCAGCCGCCAGGCAATGCTGCAGGCCCTCCGGCGTACACCCGAGGCCTCGGCCGTGTTGCCTTTCATCCGTTTGTGGTACGCTCGGGCCTCTTCCTACGTCTGGGCTGCCGGGCCCGAATCACTCAAGCAGAAGGTGGGGAACAAGGCGACCCGCTGATGCCAGCCGTGTTCTCATTAGGTATCGCCCCAGCCCTGAGTGCGTTGCAGCACGAGCTTCGTGAGGGCGAACATGCAGTCGCGCACCTTGACGACATATGCCTGCTTTGCCAACCCGACAGGGTCGTTCCCTTGTACCAACGGCTGGAAGATCTACTTTGGGAACATGCCCGTCTCAGCCTCAACGCAGCCAAAACTCGGGTCTGGAATGAAGCTGGCATTGCACCCCCTGGTATTCAGGCCCTCGCCCCTGACTCCACCATCTGGGCCGGTGACCAGAGGAGCAACCCGAAGCTGAGCAGGGTCTCCTCGTCCTGGGAGTGCCGTTCGGGGCTCCAGCCTATGTTGACAACCATCTGTCCCACCTCGCTGACCGCCATGGCTCTTTTTTGCAAGCTTTCCTTGGCCTGGGGGATACTCAATCGGCTTGGCTGCTTCTCCTCTACTGTGCGTCGCCCCGGGCGCAGTATGCCATCCGCATGTTGCCCCCCTCGTCCACAGCAAGGTTTGCTGCCGCCCATGACAGAGCCATTAGTTCGTGTTTGGCGGACTTGTTGTACGCCGACTTGCATGATGAGTTGCCTGCACTCGCCGTGGCGCGCGTGCAACTTGCTCTCTGGGCGTCGTGGGCGGGCTCCTTGCCGGCCATTGCAGCCCGCGCACCAGGATTCGCAGACCGTCTGTTGCTCCTCTTCGAAAGCGAGGGCCCCCCTCCGCCAGCCCTGGACGCTGCGCAAGTTGCCGGTGCCGGCATGGCGCGCGATCCTCAACTCCGAGCCTGGGAACGCCCAGGACGACGAGCCCGCCCTCGACCTCCTCTGCGGCTGGCAACGGCTCGCGTCCAGGGCTGTTGATGATTTCCTCGACCGGGCACATGGACGTGAGCTCAGCCCGGGCAATGCAGCGCTGCTGGACTCGCAGTGCGGCCCCTTTGCGGCACGTGTTTTAACTGTCCGACCCACCAGCCCGGAACTCACGCTCCCGGCCAGCCTGTTTAGGACGTTGCTTCTGCGCCGCTTGCGCTTGCCGCTGCCCCTCTCCCCTGCGTTCTGCTGCTGCCGACAACGGCTCGATGTGTACGGAGACCACGCGGCTGCTTGTCCGCGCTCTGGCCTCCTCCGGGCTCGCGGCATGCCCCTTGAGCGTGCGGCAGCACGGGTCTGCCGAGAAGCCGGCGCCACCGTCACCCTCAACACTTTCGTGCGTGACCTCAATGTGGATGCAACCCGGACAGATGACCGGCGCATTGAAGTCATAGCTAACGGCATGCCTCTGTGGGGCGGCGCTCAGTCAGCAGTTGACACAACGCTTGTGTCTGCCCTCACTGCAGCGGGTGCCCCCCGCCGTCACGCCGGCACAGCCGCACTACGTGTCGACCGCCAGGCCAAAGAACGCACGTATCCCGAGCTGCGGCAATCTCGCCGATGCCGGCTCGTTGTCCTCGGCATTGAGTGTGCAGGCCGCTGGAGCGCGGAAGCCGCATCCTTTATCCGCCTCCTCGCCCGCTGCAGAGCGCGCGCTGCTGCAGGGCGCGCGCTGCTGCAGGGCGCGCGCTGCCTGCGCGCAGCCGCCCGTGCCTTTCTTTCCAGCTTGCTCGGCCTGCCCTTGTCAGTCACAGAATGGTGATGGGGACTCGCCGCTGATCAGCGACCTCCTTGCCGACTCTGCGGAGGCGCCGCCGTTGGCCAGTCGCCTCGCGTGAGCGCCTTTGGCCTAGGACTCGGGCCACGGGTCGCAGCAATGTGCTTGGCCCTGGTCTGCCGTGCGTGTGGCGTGGATTTGGCCTTCACCCGCATATGCACTGGGACCGCCTGAACGAAGCTGTAAAAAGGTCCGCAGCAAAAAACAAAAAAAAATCCATGTGGAAAAAAACGAGGTGCGGCTCGGCGGCTGTCCCAGGCGGCAGTTGGGCATGAACTGCCCTTTGGCCAGGTCCTCTCGCTGACACCAGTGGGCCTGAACTGCTTCCCATTAGGCGGCAGGCTGGGGTCTACCATTACTTCGAGCACGGCGCGCCGCTTTAAAGAAGGTGTATTTTGACGGTGTAGCTGCGCCAAGTTGGACCAAGCTTGTCGTGCAGGCATAAACGTCCGAGAGGAGAAGAAGAAAAAAACAAAAACACACACACACACAAACGAAAGATACCGTTTCACGGTGTCATCTTTTTGCTGATGCCGTTTCACGGTGTCATTTTTTTTGCTGTTGGTATGGACGGTCAGGCGCTTTGTTCTTTCCGTCTTCACGTGTGTGAAATCTTGTTGCGGTGTCAACTCTCAATTTCGTGTCCGGGATGCAAACATGTTTCTGTCTCTTGGAACGCGTTTGCAACTGCTGGCGGAACCGTCCGATCACGGTGTTGCAGGTGGGACGGGCATTGCACATCTGGTCAAACAGCGTTGGCGTTCTTTGCTGCAGCACACGAGATTGAAAACGCTCTTTGATGTGGGGATATTATCCGAAGATGATGTTCACGCATAGTGTGGGTTCTAGCCGGGCACATGGCAAGGAGTAGCCGCGTAACGTGCGGATCGAATTTTGTAAGGTGGCACGCCTACATCATGCGCAAGCCCCGGCAAGCCTGCATTGTGTTTAGTCTTTGGTGCGGAACATGTTGATGTTTCCCCAGGTCAGAGCAACCCGTGCAAACGAGGCCAGCACGATTGGTCCTTGCCCTACGGCCTGCCCAGGACGTTTCTATGGGAGACCGCATGTTGACAAACCGCGTCATGTACAATGCGCGCAGCGTCGGTGAACAGATGAGGCGGTCATGATCGATATCATCGCTTGCATCGCAGCGACGCCCAACAGAATGAAAGGTACGGCATAAGACACACATTTGCTCCGTTAAGGCTGCTGTAGTGCGCGCCTCCCTGGTGTGGTGAGCTCAGTGCGTCTATCGCAAAGTTTAAATTCAACATGCCGCTCTTGCTGGGTGTGCAGCGCAGGCCTTTGGCATTGTTCTTCCAACCAAGTCCCTTGCAGGACCACATTCTGTTAGCATTGCGCAATGCTATCATACATGTTTTGCAGTGTTTTGTGATGTTTGGCGGCGGAGGCAGATTTTCAAACCACTTCAGCAGCCAATTTGTTATGCGTTGTGCAGCCCCAAACACTAGCACTTGGAAGGCAACCCCGTGGACCGGGCAGATAGCCAACAGCATCAACGGCGCCTCAACATGTAAGATTGACTGCCCAAATTGGATGGTGTGTGCTAGGAGGGGACCCGCATCAGTGAGACATCGACCTTCGGCCAGGTGATCCTTTTCATTTGGATGACAAGCAGCATCAAGAGATTCACCGGAATGTGTTGAGCTGATGCGTTGGGAGGTAGTTTTCGGCGTGCTCGCCGCCAAGTACTGTAGGTATCATCGCATCCAAGCACATACGATTTAAACATGCGCTCGCTTACAAAGGCTTGCCAGCTTGATACCGTTCTCGCTCCTTTACTTTGTGTCCTTCTTCTTGTTGATTGTGTGGCACTTGGGCTTCGAGCGCATATTGGGATGTGCCGGTAATTCAAGTCATGGCCTAGGCAGACCATCAAAATTTCCGTCGGCTGGCCCTGCGGTGGCCTTGGTTTGGACAGCTGTTTGATGCCGCTTGCGTTGTTGTGTATTTGCGTCGCCAAAAAACAAGGTTGGCACCGTCGCGTGCTTATCATGGCATGTCATAGTGTCCATGTTTTTTGTGTTGAACCAGCTTGGATCCCGCCAGGCCAATAGCTGCCAGTTGTTGCAATGCGTCTTCCTCAGCATCTTACGACACCCAAGCGCCTGCATAGATGTTTTGTTGACATGATTTTCACAGGCCCTGCGCCCCGTCTCATTATTATCCAGCAACACAGCAATTATATCATGAATGCCATGCTGCGCAGGTGGCCCTTGCTGCGCGAGTTTGGTGGGCTTGGCGCGAGCTGCAGGCCTGCAGCTCTCCATCAGCTGGGGTATCTCACGCAGTTCAGGAAGGTCTAGCTTTAGATAAGTTGTGCCCACAGCATGCGGCCCAAATGGTCTGTATCAATAACAGTGAGGAAATGGAAACCTGGGAAATGGAAACCTAACACATCGTGTTTCTGCCTGGTCAGGGGCAGCCAGCTGACCTGACGGAGCCCGTGCCCCAGAAGTTCTGCGCTAAAACGAGTCCGGAAAAGGGTCGGCGATGTCTGAGCCTGAGTGGGACACAGTCCCGAGAGGTGATGATGCGCAAAGATAGGGTCGTGTCGTGTGGTCACGACTTATCCTTTGTTGGCCTGACAACAACTTAGATTTAATCGCTTGAGCCTTGCAATTGCCGAGGCTTTCCCGTCAGGGCGCCTCTCGGGAATTGATTGGCCACGCCTTGATGACCGGGCTCTGCCTCGCATGGGTGGTGTTTGTCAGTTGTTTGCAACTCACATTTACATATTTCACATCCCTGAATCGAACTGGCACTTTTCTGCTTAACTGGAGCTTCGCACGCAAGTTGCTTTGAAGTATGCCTAGCATGGGCTCAAGACTCGCAACGCCACCCCAAGTCCTCATGGCGTGTGCGTAGTAGGTCAGCAGCATAATCTTCGGGGAAGAGCTAGCTGCTAGCTTCGTTGAAATTGTTTTTTCAGGGACCAAGGTCACCAATTTTGAGCTCTTTGTCTTTCCATGTTTTTCATATCTGTCCTTGCCCTGTCAGTGGCTCAAAGCCAATGTGCTTCTTTCGGGCTCGGGGAATGGGTGGCCAAGGTGGAGGCATCAGCAGGGCTTGTTCAACATTGCTCTTGAATTGTTTTTCGTGCACAGCCTCCAGTAGCACGCTGGTGGGAAGGCTCGATGCCCACTGCCTACCCTTGCCGCTGCAGCTTAAGGCATTCTGCTCTATAGGGGAGCCATGTATCAATCTGTGTAAGATGTTTTGACATGCGTGACAAAACCGCTACGCCGGACAGGCTCAGCGACTAGGCCCGAACGGGATGGGTGCCGGCGCGGGCGCCCCCAAGAAGAAGCGATATGCAGTGCA